TTTAATCGATATTTCATTGCATAATTTATTTTTAACTCTGTCCCAACTTAAAGTAAAATACATACATTCTTCTGTAACAATAAAAAGATGATCTGTATCAGAGCTAATATGAGGCTTATAAGATAGGATTGCAGATACTTTCCCATTTATTGTAAATTCATGGGTATACTTTAATCCCTGAGTTGAAAGTGTATATATTTCAATTCTGTTGCTTTTACTATATAAAAATTTAATAATTTTTACGTAAAATATTTTTTAAAGCCTACGCAATTACTAAAGAGGGGGTTTCTGGATCTAAAAAATATGATTTTACTGCATATTTTACTGAAGATGCTTTATGTGCACTTGCAATATATGCCATGTTTTAAACGATATCTACGATAAAAAAGATATTAGAAATGTTTCATATTACTCAATTATGAAATATTTAAGATAATGTTCTATAAATAATTTTTCATACATGTTTTTTCGGTCTTAATGTTTTAGAGTATCAAATTGAAGCTATACTTATAAAAAAGTAATTTAAAGAGAATTACTTATGAATAATATTTTACATCCAGTTTACATTTTTAGAGGGCATGAAGTACAAATTAGTTATATTTATTTTTTTAAAAAAAATGAAAATCTTGCAACCTGGTAAATTTATTAATAGTTTTAAATTATGTTTTTAATATCAGTGATGCTAATGGTTGGATTATAATTTGGAATACTTTTACTCGAAGACCAATTATAGCTTGGAGAGCACATTTGGAGTCAATACTTACTTGTTATTATTGGAGTGAGAATTATTTTATTACGTAATGTTTTTTTATTTTTTTAATTTTTTAAAGTATAATTAGACATGGAAGAGATAATAAGGTATATATTTGGAAACTTCACTTTGAATATACAGAGGATTCAAAGATATACCTTCCAATTGATCAAAAGGAAGAATATCAAAAAAAACCCTGGATGATTTATAGTCTTAATATTAATTCTTTAAATTATTGTTCTTTTGCAGTATGTGATAAAGGTAGTTTTGCAGAATTATGAAATATCATTAAAAAAATTAGAGAATGATATAAAGAATGAAATTTTTATGGCTATTTCTAGTTCGAATAAAAATGAATTGGTTTTAATATTTATTTATTTTAAGAATATATTAAATAACTATATAGATAGATATTTATGACTTACCGAATTGTCAGCTAATATATTCTGGAATAGGTTCTACTAAAGAAACTACTGGTTAGTTTATTTTTTTATTATTATTTTTAAAATGAATGAAAAAAGGAATAGTAATGAGTCTTTGTATATATTATCGAAAAGAACCGTCTTGTAAAACTTTGGAAGTTTCTGCTGGTTTTGAGAGTGGACATGTAGGTGTCTTTATATTTTCTTCAATTCATCAGGTATGGGAAACTAAATATTTGTTTAAAGTACACACACAACCTGGTAAAAAAAAAATTAAATTACTTTTCTAATTTATTAGTTCTATCGATACATTGTGATCCACTTCATGAGTTCCTTATTTCGTCAGGCAGCGATTCATTTATTGTAAAATATTATCTTAATTCAAATCTGGATAACAATATATTAAAATTTAAAACACATCATATTGGACAACAATCTCTGAGGATTCGTTCTGATGCTAAAATATTCGCAACTGCTGGATGGGACGGAAAGGTTAGAGTATATTCATGTAAATCACTTTCTCAACTGGCGGTATGTAAATGGCATGAGACTGGATGTTATGCTGTTGCTTTTTCAGAAATCATCCCCGAACATTACAAAATATTAGGGTTATTTGATAAAAACAAACAGCTGAAACTGCTAGAGAAGCATTGGTTAGCAGCAGGCGGGAAAGATGGAAAAGTATCATTATGGGAAATTTATTAGTTTTTTTTGTTTTCGATATTTTATACATATAGGAAAATATTGCTGGAAAACCTATAAATCCATTTTTAAAACTCTTCCTTAGTACTATTTTCTATATGATCATGTTTTGAAATTGATATATTTTTAAGATAATTTTTTTTAGAATCATGTTTTTGTATAAAGACACTCATATCATTAGAATAGAGATGTTCAAATATCTTCTTAGTCATTATTGACGAAGAATCTATCCAAGCAAGTCTTATCCATGGCTCACTTTCGATAGAACGAAGAATATGAGTAGTAGAAAGTGCTAGTGTTTGTGAATATTCTGGGGATTTTGCAGAGGTTTGTACAGCTCTAGTAGACTTAGAATTCGATAGAGAATCAGTTACAGAGGCTTCTTTGACAAAGAAATTATTTAAATGTTTAAAACTTGGCCTAAGTTGAAGAGTATAATTTACTGGTGAAAGATGAAGCTCATCTATTATCATTCTAAGTATTCAACTATTTATAATTATAAAGAACAAAAACCTCCGCGAATAATCCCAACCATATAACAATTCCGACAAGGACTTATTTTCGAATCAAGAGTTTGAAAATCAAGTATAGAAGATTTATTTTTAGTAGAACCATTTTCTATGTTTTTAGAAAATTCAATACCACGTTCTTCATTATAATATCGTTGCGTATATATTGGCACATCAAGCTCAATAAGGCCTGATTTAGGTTTAATCCGTAATTCTAACGGTTTACTAAATGATTCTTCTACATAAGGTTGTATTGAAGGACGTATAGGATATTGAAAAAGATAAAGATAGTCGTTGAGACAAGATGTAGTATAAATATTATAAGTCTTCATAACCGGGTCATCCTCTGATAATGTTAGCGAATGATTTGTTGTTTGTTTATTTGATTTCATATTTCTAAACTATTTTATTAATAATTTTAAAATGCTAACTTTAATCATTAATAATTTGTTTAATTTAATATGAATTTGCACAAATTATTGAAAGTCTATTTAAGAAAAGTTAAATTTCTTGAACTTTTGTTTGTATTAATTTTTTTATATTAGATTTGCAAAAATTCGTAAATTTCAGATAAAATATTTACATTCGAAAAATCTTAATCTTATATTTTTAGAATTTATTTAGTGATTAAATATTTTCATCTTAATTTAATACATTAAATATTATTTTCATGTTATCATTAGATTATATAATTTTAATAATTCTAAAATTTATTTTTAAAAAATTAATTTTTAGTTCTTTTTTCAAAAAAAATTAAATATATTTTAAAAAAATCAGAGCTAAAAATCATATTTTTAGATATTCATAAACATAAATTTATATAATTATTATATATTGATTAAATATATGATTTATTATTTGAATATGAAAAAATATTATTTAAATTATCCACTGCAATGATGTAAATCTTGATTTCTGTTTTAAATAGATATGCTAAAATTTTCAAAATAAAATCATAAAAGCTATCTTAAATTTTCTCATGAATGTAGTTTTTAATATTATTTTTAATAAATTTAAAAAAATAAAAACATCAAAACTTCGATTATATTTTTTAAAATTAACTTTAAGAATTTAAAAATTAATCGCTATAAATTTATAGAATTTATATTTTTTCTTAATATTTATATATTTAAGCTATTATTTAACTAAATAAAAAATACATCAGAATTTAATCTCATTAATTATTTCAATTAACAAATATTTAATATATATTTTCGGTTCTATTAGAGAAGCGTCGATGGTCTAGTGGTTATGATTTGTGCCTTCCAAGCACAAGAACGGGGTTCGATTCCCCGTCGACGCACTAGAAAACTTATCTTCGGGAGACATTCTTAATTCAATTTCCGAATGACTTTAAAATTAAATTAAATCTTAGAGAAATGTTTCTTCTCTTAAAAAAGTATAATTAAAGTTTTAAATTAAAATTAGAATGTTATTATTATTGTTTTTTATATCATAATATATCTAGTTTATATTTTTAATAATTTCTAAATCTTTTAAAATGAAAAATTTAAAATACTATAGTAATTAAAATCATAAAAAAAAACTAAAATTAAAAAATAATTACTTTTATAATAATTAAATATTTGGAATCGAATTAATCTATGATGATTAGAAATTTTTATATCTATTGATAATATTATTATATTAATAAATCTGAATTTTAATAAATTTTTGCGATTCTGAATTTAAAACGTTTGTTAATCCAAAAAAAAAAGATTAGAAAGTATATATAATTAAAACTATTTGTTATATTCATTTTATTATTTTTTATTAAAAATATAATTTTTCTGTTGAAAAATTTTTATTATAATAAAGAAATATAAACATTATGAGATGTAAGAAATAATAAATTTATTTGATTTTTCATTACTAATTTTGTTACAAAAAAAATTATAACTATAGAATTAATATATATAATTGTATCTAAATTTAATATTAAGTTGACTTGTAAATGTAATTTTGATAAAATCATTTGGCTATAATGGTGCTTTTATAAATTTTATGTATTTTATTTTTTATACAAAAAAAGCAATTTTGAAAATTTTCAAGATTAAAAAATCTAATTAAAAACGCTATCTATAATTAAAATTATAATGTAAGCCATTTAAATTGAAAAAAAACAATATTGAAGTGTTAAGAAATTTAGTAAAATTATTATAAATTTGAAAAAATTATAAACATACTATATTTTCGTAAATATTATGAAAAACTCATTGTGAACATAATAAAAATATAATAAGATATTCAAACTAATATATTTTTCATAACTATTTCCTCAATAAGTAAAATTGTAAATCAATTATCTGAATAAATAACATATCTAAACGAATAAAACTTCTTGTTTTATAAATAAAATAATGAATATTTTACTTTGCTCAAAAATAAACGTATATTCAAATATTCTTAAATGCCAAAGTTTAAAAACTTTGTTTTATTGAAGAGAACAGATTTCCCTATATAATTAAAATATAAACAAACAAATTAAAAATTGTAATTTTTATAATATTTAAATTATTAATAAAACTTTTATAATTTTAAGTGTTTTATAAGATACATACATCCATAATAATATTACTTTTTAAGAACTATACTTTCAAATTTAAAATTAAAAATTGGATCCACGGGGAATCGAACCCCGGACCCCACGCAATATTGTACTCGCAAAGCGTGTGTGATAACCAACTACACTATGAACCCAATTTCCGGTTTTAAGGACATTTTGGAGAATATATAGATATTTTTGATTTTTATATTTAAATGATTGAATTGATGTCAAATTAACCATAATAACTTTATTTGTATACATACATGTAATTCAGGTAAATCTAGGGTTAACCAAACAATAAATCCCATCCGGGCAAGACAACATGAAGGGCGTTGCAAAGTAGAGACAAAACGAGGGGCAGTGTCAGAACCTAGTTGGGTATACTATATTAAATTATCATATTATAAAAATATTCGATTATCTAATTATCGAAATCATTTATCTATTATACATGTGAATCATTTTTACAATATTGCAACTTTTTTACCCGTATTTTTAAATCGTTAATTGAAAGACTGGCTCTTTTATTCCTCCCCCTCTCCTTTTCTTTTCCTTTCTTTTTTGCACTGCTATTCACAAAAACATAGATTCTTTTGGTTTTTAACATAAAAGGAACTTTTTCGCTGGATAATGAATTTTTAGGTGGTATGTTTTCTTTTTGATTTAATTCTGAATTATTAAATCTTGTTAAAACATTTTCTCCATTTCATGATTATCATCCATTGTTTTTCCATACACTCACAGGTGATAAATATAATGATCAATTAAATAAAGAACTCTCAATTTTAGGACTTGGAAGTCAAAATATTAATAATAGGATCTTTTATTTTGTCAGTCCGATGGATCTGGAAAATAATAATAATTGTGAACAAAACCTGGAAAAAATATGTTCTAATATAAATGTGAAAATATTACATAGTGAAATTCAGGATACTTGTACACACATTAGTACAATATGTTCTGATTCGAAAAGCAAAATATCTAAGAAAATACAAGAAGTTGCTCAGAATTTTTCAAGTAAAACGGATTTAAAACAGCAGTGTAGAATATTGCAAATAGAATGTTATTTCCTAGAAAGATATGATTCAGACCTTTTTTCAAAATGCACTAGACTAAAAGAACGTTATTACATTGAAGTCTGTAAGGAAGTAGCAAAAAGGATTTTCTTTAATCTTCTAAAAGAAACTCTAAATACTATAACTTATTGCTTAAAAGAATTCAAGTCTGAATATTTATCATTTGGTCAGAAAAGTTCTGAATTACTTGATTTGTGTATTAATAGCGATCATATTTCTGAAAAATTTGTCTCGAAATCTAATAGAAAATGTCAAGTTTTTCAAAAACAATTATTACTGCAAAAAGAAATAACAGAGCATAATTGTAAAATTTGACCAAGAAAATGCTGTTACTTCTTTTGGTTGTCAAAGTATTTATACTACCTGCCGTTCATTTCAAGTAGGTTGTGCAGAAAAAGGTTTCTTTTATGATGTTCTGGGTGATTTTGATCTTTATCTCTTCGAAAAGCCATTTGCTGTTCCAAAACAGAATGTTGTTGAGTCTGGATATAGTAAATTAGATAATTTAGGTATCTATGTTGATGAACTATCTAAATTCAATGATATGGTATTTACTAGTTTTTTGATTCAAAATGGTAATACAGAAACCGAAAACTGCGAAAAAGAGTTAAATAAAAAATGTGCTTTAGCAGATTATTTGAATATTTTTAGGGTTATATATACCAAAAAATCTAACAATGGTAAACACGATGCTTGTATAGAAATAAATGATAAAGGTGAATCACATTTTCAATCTTATTTTAAAGATTTCACCAATAACAAATCTTTATCAACTTTCAAAAACTCCTTTTCAAAAGAAGAATGTGCAAAGTATCTATCGTTATGTTATTTTATTACTTCATACATCGATCATTGGGGCAAAAGTGATATATGCAAAGAAATACGAGTCTTTTGTTATCAGACAGGTTTAGAAACGGTTGCTAAAGTAAATTTAATAAAAGAAATGAATGAACAATTCACATTTGTAGAAAAAAGTGATAAATCTTTAGATCGTACAGCAACTAAGAATAGCTGCCAACTTTATCTTTTTCTTGCTTGTAAAAAACATATGCATCACAATTATCATATATTCACTAGTTGTCTGCATTTGAAAGAAACATGCGAAGATTTAATATCATTTCTTGAAGAAAAATACAAAGAAATGAATGGTTATTTAAAGAAAATCAACAAAAAATTTACACGTCATTCTTGCGGCAAAAAAAGAGGAGAATGCAATAATTTAAAGTCTTGTGATAAATCTACTTTAGAATTATGTCGGGAACTCGAAGCATATTGTGGAAAGATGGATAAACTTAACAAGTTGAAATTAGAAATGCTAAACAACCAATCCCTTAGTTTACAAAGTATTCCTGTTTGCGTTGGCTATCTTCAAACATATTGTTCAGGAAATAATGCGGCTTATGGATGTACTAATGTGCAAAATACGTCTCTGGACATATTCCAAGAACTTCAGAAAGATTGTGATCAATTTTTCGAGCTTCTGAAAAATTATTCAAGTACTCTTTATGATGTATCTTATGCTGCTCTTAGTCGTTGTTTTTATTTTAAAAATTACTGTCTTTTATATTCAAGTTGTCCTAGCTCTAATCTCTGTGAGAAAATTGCGGGAATATGTAATACTGCAGTAAACCAACATAAGAATCTTCTTGCATTAGCTAGAACGCTTGGTGGAGAAATACCTACAGTTGAACTATGTAAAAAAAAATTAGAAAAATGCAAAGAATCAGAAAATCAAGAAGAAAAGCTTCTGTGCAGCGAAACTAATGAATGCAATTCCTTAGTACCATATTTAAAAAAAGTATGCGATGAATTCATATTAAGAGTTTCATCGTATTTTCATACTATTTCTAATTTTACTACGAAATGTAACAAAGTAAAATCTTTATGTTTATTTATAGGGTCTTCTTGTACTGGAATTAATGACAGGGTTTCTTCTATATGTGCTAATTTTATTAATAAATGTGAGTTGTCAACGCCATTACCATCGACACCAGGATCAGAACCAGTACCAGAACAGCTGCCGGAATCAAAACCAGTTTCAGGACCGGGAACAGGACCAGTGCCGGGACCAGGACCAAAACCAGAATCAGCACCAAAACCGGGACCAGATTCAGAATCAGCACCGAAACCGGGACCAGATTCAGAACCAGGGTCGAAACCGGGACCAGATTCAGAACCAGCACCAAAACCAGCACCATCATACCCTATACCACCACCATCGAAACCAAAACCATCCGATTCATCATTGAGTTTACCAACTGCAGTTCCATCAACTACAACACCAACTGCAACATCGCCAGCTACACGCAAGACAAGTGTATGCACAAAAGCTACATGTTCAACATCTATACGCTTAAGACCTAGACCAACAATATTACCTAGTGACGATTGCGAAGATGATTATGAAAAAGGTTATGGAAAAGGTCATGGAAAAGGTCATAGAAAAGGTTATGGAAAAGGTTATGGAATTAGAACACAAGGATTATATATGATAGAGTTGTTTTGGATAACTACGGGAGTAATACTAGGATCATGGATACTTGTTTAAGATTAAAACAATATTTATTAATATTTTCATGGTGTATTTTTATGAAGCATTTTTTATAAAGCATTTTTGATCATATTTATAAAATCAATAATTCATTAAAATGGGAAAATTATTTAGACATTTTTGAGGAATAATTTTAGGGTATATCGATTTATCTGCATCAAACCAATAAAATACAATTTTTGAAGCATTTGCATTTAATTGTAATTTGGAAAATATATTATCGTTTCATTTCTAATTAGGTTACAAAAATGTACATGTAATTAAATATTTGAATAATTATATCTATTTGATTATTTTCAAAAGGCATTTTTTTAAAAAATACGATTGTTTATCATTTTAATTTTTTTAAACAAAATTTAAATTTTATCTAAGACGAACCAAAACTTTTGTATATCAACAATATACAGAAAAAATACTTCAATTAAAAAAAATATATTCTAAAATTTTATGAATGTAATCTTAATATAGAAATTTAAAAAATCAATTAATAAATTACAAAAAAATATATCAAAAACTAAAAAACTTTTAGATAATCAAAAAAGTCCAAATTCCCAAAACATAATAGTTTAAAGATCCGTAAATCTAAAACAATAGTAAATATATAAAAGATCAATGAGAATATAAGATCCAAAGGAAAAGATATTTAATATATCATAGAAGATTAAAGCAAACTAAATAATGTTAAAAAAGAAAAAAAATAGTCTAAAGTTTTTTCAAAAATATTCAAAAGATATTCTGAAAAGCAGAAATCTGCAAAACAAAACCAAAGGTAAATCTCAAGCGGATCAAAACCATGTATTGAAATTTATCAATACAAAAGATATATAAAAAACTTCTATAACTAAGAACATAAAATTTTGAAATAAAGCGCTTGAGAATATCCAAATTTCAAAAAATAATTATCATTAAGAATTATTTTTATAATTTGAATTATATGAAATAAAAGAAATCAATTAAAAGTTTAAAAAACATGAATATCATATGCATAACTTTAAGTTTGAATCAATAAAACCAAATATAAAGAATGAGTAAAAAATGAATAAATATATAAAGTACTTTTAAATAAAAAATAACATAAAGCTTGAAATTGTCTTCGGAAAAAACTGTCTGATGAAGATAAATTTAATAAAATCAAAATAAAAAAAGCTAAAATAATGATATTTACATATGCAATCATATAATAAAAGATAAAGAAAATAAGATCATATTATTTAAAGTTTGAAAAGTAATTTTTTTATAAAAATTTAAAGATAGAATGCCAACTTATATAAATTCAATGAAAAAACAAGTTATACAGCTGTAACAGAAAACAGAACTTAAAACTATAGTTGCCTGTCCATTTATTTATTCTATATCCATTATTAATTTATTATCGTTTCCCTATTTTTTGAGAACTTTTTGATATTTCGATGTCAAATATGAAACATTTTTTATAGAAACTATTATTTATTACCATTATAAATGAAAGTATTTGTGTTAGCCGGATTTCTTTGCATAGCACATGCTTTCTCAAAAAATATTGGTA